AGCAGAAACAGGAAGTGAGCGCCGGCTCTGGGCAGACTTCCTCTTTCGCGGATTTTACGGCTGTTCCTTTAACAACTCAGGATCTACATTTACCCATTTCTCGCACCCTCACGGGGGCCAGAAACCACCACTCTCCCAGGCCCCAGTCCTGTCTCTGTGCCACGTCACTTGGCTAAAAATAGATTGTGCAGCAACACTACCTGGGAAGGAGGTTGGCCAGAACCCTCCACCCTCATGCTCCAGGGCAGGCACTGGGCCCAACCGGGTCAGGAAGGAATCTCTGTCCTACTTCATGGGAGAGGGATGCTACTTTAGGGAGCGGGGAGGAGAGAGAGCCCTCCTCTACTCTGAGCTGCTGCTCCAGGGAGGCTAGACGGGCTTGTTGGAAAAGGTCAGGGCAGCTGGGCAACTCTTGAGGCCTCCTGAGATTGCCTCATTCCCAGCTAGTCCCCGGACTGGGCAGCTCCCATGTGGGGCTCGGAGGTGATGGGGAGGGGGCTGGGCAGCTGCAGGAGGGGATGTGGTTTGCTGGGCGTTGCAGGGAGCTGGCTTTGCTCTGACCACAGTAGATTTGGCCTGGAGATTGCAGAGAAACCATCTGATGGGGCGGAAAGGGGCCGAGTGCATCACGGGCTTCCTGGGGTTGCAGCCCCCAGCGCAGTTCCTCATTCCGCTCGCAATCGGGCCTCAGGCTGGGTGGAGCTCAGCACTGGGGTGTTAGTGGCAGTGCTGAGGGGCCCCCACTGTCCCATCATGGCATCTGCTCTCACCGTCCTCCTCCTCGGTGAGTATCGGAGACAGCCAGGGCGTGTGCCCATAAGGTGGGATCTGAGACGAGGACGTGTGTCCATAAGGTGGGATCTGAGACCAGGGCGTGTGTCCATGGGGGGGATGTGGGACCAGGGTGTAGGATCCAGGTGCTCTGGGATCTGGTCCCTAACACCAATTTCCTTTTCAGGCTGCTCTCTGGCCAGGCACAGCTGGGTGTTGGGAGGTGAGTATCAGTCTGTGGGGAGGATATTAACATCAGAAATGTCCGGGATCGGGGGGAGGAAGAGAAACTGAGCCCTGAACCTTCCTCAAAACTCAACCCAAACTCCCCATGTGAGCTCAGACCCGGCCCCGTTCTTTTGTGCCCCCCCAACCCCCCCACATGGAGTAACTTGGAGGCGAATCTGGCTCCCGGGGTCTGACGAAGCAGAGAGGAACCGTCCCCTGGTTCAATGTCCTGGTTCAATGAGCCCCCCCAAGGCCAAATGATGGATGGACTGAATTGGGGCAGGGGGGAGGTGGGGGCTGTGTCTCCTCTGTTTAACTCCTGTCTCTTGTTAAAAGCAGGGCATGAATTTCTCAAACCCACCATCTGGGTGAGACCCAGCAGGGTGGTGGCACTTGGGGGAAGCGTCACCATTCGCTGTGCGGGTTTGTACCCGGGCATGGAGTTCTTTCTGCGTAAAGCTGGACAACCGAACCCGCAGGTGCGGACGGTGCCTGATGGGACCGTGGCTGAATTTCCCATCCCCAGTGTCAGCCGGGAAGATGGAGGGAGCTACACCTGCGAATATCGCTCCAAAACGGATCAGAGTCGCTCATCGCATCCCAGTGACTCCATTGAGATCATTGTAGGAGGTGAGGGAGGGGCCCGGCTCAGGGGCCCAGCTCCCAGTCCCCCACCTAGCCAGACCCACATGGGGTCTCTGCACCGATGGGACGCTCAGAGCCAGGCTCTGCCCTGAGCCCTGGCCCCAGGAGAGGGGACGCCCGGCCGGGGAGCAGGGACGGAGTCACTGGGGGGTTCTCCAGCCAGTGGGGAGAAGCAGCAACTGGAGACTCAGGGCTGAGGGATGGGGGATCCCTGCCCCCAGGGGGAGCTGCAGAGTGGGGGGGCCTTTCCCAGGCAACACATCAGTTAGGGGGTGATGGGCGGAGCTGAAGGTTATAAACCTCAGTGTATAGTAGAGACTTGCACAGTCCCCTACAAGTCAGGGGTGGTGCTGTGCACAGAACCCAGCAGTCCTGGCCCCCATCCTCCCTGCTCGCCCCACTAGACCTCACTCCCCTCCCAGAGCCAGGGAGAGAACCCAGGAATCCTGGCCCCAAGCCAGCCCCTCCGC